TGGTACTGCCAGGAGAAGAGGCCAGCCCGGCTAAAATAAGCTATGACCATAGACAGGAGGTACTGATGGAGAGAGAGGAAAGACAGAGAGGTCACATCCTGGAACAGGAGGAAAGAGGGGACAGAGGAATGGAGGTCTGGGGTAGACAGTGCCACTAAGAGAAAGTAACCAAGTAAAGAGACCTGCTTCCTTGAGGAAGGACAAGAAGGACCAAGGTCAGTCGGAGCAGTCAGGGAGAGAGGAGGCCTAGATGTGTACTGGAGGGCCAGCTCTGAGGGGACCTTTTGAGAGAAGGCATGTAGGTCAGCTGGGTGAGGAGGGTCTTGGGTAAGCTTAAGAATAGGAGATCCTAGGGAGAGAAAAGAGGAGAGGAGCCCAGAACCTCAGGTGGTATCAAGCAGAGAGGTGATAGGCATGCAAGACTGTGGTCTCGGACTTGGAGCCCAAGCAACCCAAGCAGAAGCAAGGTCCACCTGTCCTCTCTGCAAAAAGCTGCTAGGCCCTAAAGGGATATGTTGACAAGTTACAAAGGTGCCAGGACTTGGTACATCTTGTTGGCTCTATGCAGAGGCAGAGAGAAGGACCATGTGGAGCTTGTGTGTTTGTTTTGACTAGGGAATTGTGGGGGGGGGGGGAACTATACTTCAATGCTATAATTTTTCTATAGCCAATGCACTTTTCCAAAGTGCCCTGCTATGGCTGATCTCTCCCCCATGTCTGGAGGACTCAGAATGCATCTACCTGAGAGACTATTAGATGATGGATGCTTACATTAGACCTGACAAGGTCTCTGCTTGGGATCACAGAGCTTGGTTCCAATCATCCTGATTGCAGACATTATGACTCTAATAGATTTCCTCCTCCCTGAGGGGTGAGTAATGGGACCATGTTCACGAGGCTTCAATGGGTAAGAGAGAGCAGAGAGAATAGAACCTCCCTTGGAGAAGGTGTTGGATTGGAGCCCAATAGAGGACCATAAGGTCAGAAAGCCCTTCCCACTCCAGGCTGTGCTGGATCAGTAACACTTGAAAACAACCTCACCTTGTCAGACACCCTCAGGTTCTTGTCCCAGGCCAGGAATCTTTTGACAACAGGATCCTCTGTGAACAGAACACTGGTGTTAGTTGGGAACCAGAAGGGGCTTCAATGGGTGATAGAGAACAGAGAGAACAGGACCTCCCTTGGAGAAGGTGTGGGATTGGAGCCCCATAAAGGTGGATAGATAGAGGACAGGAACATTCCTTGGGCAAGTTGCTTTGACATGAGACCCCCCTCAGAGAAACAACTGAGTGAGGGTTTGTGTAACATCTGGATATCTATATGAATAAAAGCTTTGAGTAAACTGTGAAGGCTCATCATCACCCAAGATATACCACCACCTTAGAATCAGAGAATTACTAGGTCATTCTCTCATGGAGGAGGAAATCTATTAGAGTCAGGATGTCTTTAATCAGGACAATTGGAACCAAGTTCTGTGATTCCAAGCAGAGACCTTGTCAAGTCTAACGTAAGCATCCATCATCTAAAAGTCTCTCAGGGAGATGAATCCTGAGTCCTCCAGGAATGGGGATCTCAGGGATAGCAGGGCTCTTTGGAAAAGTGCAGTGGCTATAAGTTCCTTCTTTGTGTAAAGAAAGGATTGGAGGGCGCTACCTGGGTGTCTCCCTACCTAGAAGCCGGTTGAAAACCTCATGGTGTTCTGGTTGCACCAAGTCCATGCGCCGTTTTTTGAGTTTCATTTTGAGGCCACACAGTGACTCCACATCCCAGGGGTGATTTAGCCCACTTTCCACATCCTCCAGCTCATCCTCAGATTCAGTGGAGGACTCTCTCTTTCTCTTTATGCCAGTGGTCTCAGGCAGGAGGCCAGATTCTACCCAGAGTGCAGAATCAAAAATCCCCGGGGGATCATCCTCCGAGTCTCCCTCAGATTCTGAGGTCCACTCTCTCTTCCTCGAGGACCGACATGGGAGGCAGGGTTTTACCCACAGACCTGAGTAAAGGAAGCAGAGTCAAGCTCCTGAATTTGGAACTCATCCTTTCATCCTCTGATCCCAGTTCACCTCCCACCCCCAGACCTTCAACTGTTACCTTCTTCTGAGCTATTGTTCAACCTCTCCCCTTTGCTGATAAACATGTGCCCCTGATTCTCCTTACCAGTGTCCCTTCTCCCTGTTCCTCAAAACTCTTCCTCATTATGGATACTTTCTTCCATGGGGGGAGTGACCCTTTTTACATCTCCTCTACCTAATTCCTATGCTTATATCTCATCTTCTAACCCAACTCCTTTCTCTACAGATTTCCATCCATGTGGACTACCTTGTTCCATGGCAAGGAACTTTAAACTTCAAAAGTGGGCTCCCTAGTCTACCTTTTCTGGGTTCTCTACCCTTTCCTTCCTCCTTACCAGTCATCCTGTCAAATCAGTTCTCACTCTAGCTCCCTCACCTGATGGACCTGGGACCTCATCATCTACCACCACCTCCAGGTGGGTTTCTGAGGTGTTCGGCTGGGAAGGCGATTGCCCAGACTGGGAGATTTGTTGATCCGCCATAAGTTCTCCAATACTCTGTCTTCCTTCTACAAAACCTAGATTCTTACTAAGGCAAAGCCTTCTTCCAGAATTTGGTTGTATAGGAATCTGTTCGTTCTTCTCCAAATGGGAGAAACCAAGTGAGGAACAGTTCTGAGGTCAAACTGTTGCCTACTGCACTGCCAGTGGTCCACAGAGTCTGTCCCTTCCAATCAGGAAGGTTGGAAGCCTCTGATGTCATCACTCATTCCAACCTGGCAACCAGTTTGAAGGAAAACACCTGTAACTGTCAGACTGGTGTGTGCACCTGTCCTAGAGTTCTAGAGGAGATGGTCTCTGCTGTGACTGATCCAAACTCTGTCCACCTTGCCAAACTACCCTACGGGTCTCTGACTCCTCCCTCTTTCACTTCTCTCTAGAATGTGGGTTCTTCTCTCCATTCTCAACACAAAACATGTTAGATTACCTGCCTTTTAGCATTTCCATTTCAGAGCTTAGTGTGGGGGAGAGGAAGGAGGATGGCAAGGAAGATGGAGAAGGGCAGAAATGACAAGACTTCCCAAGAAGGAGCTCAATATGTACAAAAGAACCCACATACACTGAATTATCACTTGAAAAACCTAAATGGAAACACTCAATTTAGCAAATCTATTCCTCTAAGTGCCACTGGCCTTCACTGTTTTCAGAAATCTGTCGAGGCGACATACACTGTGCACTTAGGCACCTTTAACACAGGATTCCTTTTGAAAACATAAAATCATAGGAAATTCTACACATGCTCATACTCTTCACAGAGTGTCTCCACTTTCTGGGAGTCTATGGATCATCTCAAGTTAGCCTCTCATTTCCAATCAATCTCTCTCCAGTTTACATAGTATATTTGGGAGCAAAGATATTGCTCTTGATCCGGATATTTCACTGTCACCCATGTGCCCTATGGAAAATCTCACATGTGAAAAAAGAAACAAATGGAAGTTTTCCCATACAAGACAGAATATAGTATTTGCCGAGAAGGTGGGAAGTTCAAGGGATGTGTCCCAGCACGCAGTGGAACTGGGGAACTGCTTCCAAACGTCCTAACTTAGCCTTTTGCTTTACAGCTGGGCATTCAATCCATGTTTTTCTTTGTAGCCACAAAATGTGGTTAAATATGTAGAAAACTTACCATGTTAACCATTGTGATGTGTAGAGGTGAGTGGTGTTGATTACATGCATGTCTCACTTAATAATGGAGATATATTCCTGAAAATGTGTTTCAGGATGATTCATCATTGCACAAACATTCTACAGTGCTCTTACACCAACTGAGATGGCTACAGTCTTACTTATGCTATGTCATATTGTGGAACAAATTCATGTATGTGGTGTATTTTCCCATCACTGGCCATAATGTTATCATGTGGGGCATGACTATAAATTTCTCTTGTGCATCCACCTCCATCATCCATCTGCAGAGCTTTTCCATCAACATAAGCAGACAGTCTTCACCCATGAAACACTAACTCCCACTTCTCCTCTTCACCTCCTGCTGATCACCATTCTCATTTCTATCTCTATGAAATTGGACAACCCTCAGTACATTATCTGTATTGAGGACTGGGAATTCATACAGTGTGTGTCCCAGTGTGTCTGCCTTATTTCACTTTGTGCACTGTCCTCAAGATCCTACATTTCTGGAGGATGGATCAGAATTTCCCTCTTTCTTAAGGCTGAATAACAGATGGGCAGACTCCATCTGTTGTCCATTTGTTCATCCCTCTGTGGGCATTGGGTTGTTTTCTACACTTAAGCCTGAAGTCTTTTATTTGCCATTATTGGACCTTATTGACGGAAGCACACTTGTTATTCATGTTGTGCATGAGGTTTTATTTTGCATTTTAATATCTTACATGATTCTGATGATCCCATGCCAAACAAGAGTAAATGAAGGTTGATTCTTGTTATCTACTGAGAGTCAGAGAACACCTTATTGGGCAGCCATAGATGTTCAGAGTTGAATGAGGATCCATCAACCTTCCAAGAAACCGTGAGTTCCCTGGCAACTCTCCCAGGCCTGGGCTGCCCTCTAAGTATCTCCCTGATGGGAAAGGTCCTGGCAGTCAAGAAGCAGGTCCCATTGCTGTGGAAGACCAATTTCTCTGCTTATTCAGAGAAATAATAGTCATGATGCCTTTAAACATCAGAGGTGCTTGGGTCCTCCCACAACAAATAGAAAGTTCATACTCTCTTACAGTGGACAGCTTTCAAGTACATTCACATGCAACATGATAATTTTTCGGTCAATGACGGTCCATATATATGATGGAGGTCCCACACAATGGTATAGACTAGTGACTTAGGAACCATCTTAGCCTCTGTAAATACACTCAGTGACTTGGCACAGTGACAAATTGCCCATCAGCACATTTTTCAGTCCTCATCTTACTGGTTAATGATGCACGAGTGTACATGAGAAGTTTCTGTTCCCACTAAAATTCTCTTCCAGACCATAAGAAGTCCCAATTATTTTGGGACAGTAACATGACTAGTTTTTGCCTGATAGGTACCTTCACCTCTCCACTTCTCTTCCTGTTGATGCAGTCCTGTGCAGCAATGATGATAGTTATACTGGAAAGATAACAGAGTGAATAGATCTGCTTTGCAAACACCAGCCTTTTTGCATAAGGTCAGAGGTAGGAACACTACAGTACAGTTTCTGGCCCTTGCCTCATAGATTCTAACTGAAAGGACATGACAGTTTTCCAAATCTGTCTTTGGATTAGGTAGCAGGGATCCTAAAGAAGCTGAAATCAGGCTGGGTGGAGTAGAACGTGAATGTAACCTCAGAGGCTCCAGAGGCTGAGACAGGAGTCTTGTGAGTTCAGACCTAGCTTCAGCAACTTAGCAAGGCCCTAAGCAACTCAGCAAGACCCTGTCTCTAAAGAAAATATAAAAAAGGGTTGGGGATGTGGCTTAGTGGTTGAGTGCCCCTGGGTTCTATCCCTGGTACCAAAAAAAAAAAGAAAAGAAGGTAAGAAAGAAAATAAAGGGAAAAAAGAAAGAAAGAAGGAAAGAAAGAAATAAAGAAGAGGAAAGAAGGAAAGCGGGAGGGAGGGAGAAATTGAAACCACTATAGAAGAAAATAAAGAGGAAACATTTTTATGGGAAGGTGAGGGCTTACCATGGGAGGGCTGTGCTAGTCCTCAGGTCTGCCACTGATGGGGACCATCTGAAGAATGCTGCAGTTGTCCTTGTTGCTGGAAGTCCCTTGTTGAGCCTTGGAGTTCACATGGATAGGAACCTCCCAAGGAAGCTCTGCCACCTCTTCCCCAGCAGGTTCTCCACACCTTGCCTGGTCTGCTCCTCTCCTTCCCTCCTCCTTGAGGAGTCAAGGTCTCTGGACCTGGAAGAGAAATACCTGTTCTGTGACTAATAGAACCAGTGAAAGTCTTGGGAAAGAAAATGAGTGCTAAGGAGGATATTTGCCACAACTGCCAAACATGGATTCTCAGGGTTGAGATTTTCTGTCCCATGTGAATCATGTTTAAAAAGAGGGAAAATATATGTAATATTGTAATGCCAGATTCGTGGGACCCCAATAGACCTCCAGGAGCTGAATCCGATGCAATCACACAAGAGTCTTTATTGCAAGCTTGAACCTGGACTCACAATCGTTTCTGATGCAGCGTTCCCAAGAAGTGAGTCCTGGTCCTTTGATCAGTGAGATTTTATAGGTTTTGGGGAGATACTGTATGCGTCACAACATCACACAGCAAATCATTCCATACCGTGGGAAAATCAAACAACAACTCCTAACATTGATTAGCACATTCACTGGCAGGATCAAGTTGGGTAAGGGTGATGGGTTAGTGCAAGAGGGGGATTCCTTTGAATTGATTGGTTTAGGCCACAATGGGGGTATGTGCTAAACTACATGGTTTCCCAATATGTTATCAACCACCATAAACTACTGAGGGGTCATCTGGCATCCCAGGTAGTTTCCCTGTCTCATGCTGATTGGTGGTTGCTAGGGGGTTGCTATGGGTTCTCACCTAGCCTGACTGAGTCAGGGACACCTGACACCACAGATCCCTCCTGTTATTTACAGACAAATAACTTAGCAGAGTGGGTATGTGCCTAGGAGTGCTCTGTAGGTTTTTCCAAGGACAAGGGTCACGCCCCCTTCCTTAGGACAGGCCTTGAGGTAGAAGCTGGTTTCTCAGAAATGGAGTCACATTAGTTTCTCAATATCAGTTTTTAACAGTTTAGATTCCTGAGAGAAAAGCCAGTTGAGCTCACTGTCCAGATGGGGAATTTCAAGACACAGAGGGGACATGGGGGAGCCAGCAGTTTCTTTGAGTGGAAAGGACAGAGTTGGTGTCTAAGGAGACATGGTAGCTGGAGGTCATGGTGCAGAGAATCTGAGAGAGATGAGACATGCAGAGACTCCCAGTCTGGGTCTAAATGTGGTGAGCGCACAGTGGG